TTTTGCGCGCCAGGGCATTGACTACTGCCCTACTGGCTAGCCCTTTGATTTTTTTATTTGATTTGATTTTTTAATTTTTATTTTTGGAGATGTTTTTGCTATAGGGAGCATGCACTCGCCAGAAAGAACAGACAGAGACAGACAGACAGACAGACAGACAGCGAGAAATCACCCCCCAGGGGGGATGACCACGCTGCAATCCCTTCTCCTCCATTCTCCTCTCGGGATCTTGGGCACGCACGCACACGCGCCCGGCCTGAGTTTCAACCAGCGGGTCCGGGACACGAACCGCGGTCGACTACGTGGGAGTTCAGCAACATAGCCATTACGCTAACTGCTGGTCCCTAGCCCTTTGAAATTTTTAAAAGTTTTTTTTTTTTCTTTTTCACATGAGTGGCAGAGAGAAGGGGGATTTAGTGGGGTCTCACACTGTGATCCCCTCTCCGCCCCATCTCCCAGCCCTCCCAGCCAGTCAGGATTTTAGACACACGCATGCACATGCACACGCACACACATGCCCTGCATGTTCCTCAAGCCGCAGCTGTCTGGGCTCAAATCACGTGGTCAGCCATGTGGGGTCCATGTCCTTAACCACGATGCCACCTCCTGGCCCTTTAAATTTTCTTAGTTTATGTATTTATTTCATGAGAGTGACAGGGACAGACAAGCACCCTCAATGAGGTCTCACACTGCGATCCCGCCGCACCCCATCTCCCAGCCCTCCCAGCCCGTCGGGATCCTGGGCGCGATGAGCCACACCACTCAGCACCGCTGGGTCCGCGCATCGCTGCGGCACTGCCCCGCTGCCCCTGCCCCGGGTCACTATTGAGAGTGACCCCTTTCATTCTCCAAAGTTTCCAGGGACAAAGGATTATGTGGTCCCCCGTCCTGGGGCAATTACCACGTGCGGGACCCCGTTCTAAGTGTGCCTCCTGTGTCAGCCAAACCCTCCTCAGCTAGGCTCCACGTGCAACACCATCACTGTCCCCATTCTACGGATGGAAAAACCGAGGCTTGGCCAAGAACAGGTAGAAAGGAGCCACGTCAGGACCCGGGCGATCTGGCTGCAGATCTGCACCTTCAGCCTCAGAGAGCACCTTTCTTTGGTTGCAAGGAGACCAATCTGAGCCGACTAGAAATACAAGTGAGAAGTGTTACACAGACAGAGGGGACCTCACAGGACACAGGACAGGAGAGCGGGGAGGGGACCTCGCCGGCCTCGGTCAGGAATAGGGAGCAGAGGCTCTGTACCCGACTCCGCTCCTCTCTGCAGTCAGGGCCGTGTGCTCCCAGGGAGCGGAGGCCATGGGTGACAGCCTCAGCCAGGGACGGCATGGGTTCCTGGCACGACCGAGCATGGCCGCATCGATTCCGAAGTCCCTGGAGTGGACCTTGATTGCCACAGCGAGGTCAGGGCTCAGCGCTGCCAGGGAGCCGTGGACATGGGGGTGGCGTCCCACTGGTCACCACTGCCATGGCTAAGGAGGCAGTTGGGGGCTCGGGGAGAGGCTTGCCAAAGTGGGGTGCCGGCTCGGTGAGGGGCAAGGGCTGCCTGGGAGGTGAGAGGTCACAGATGACTGAGCCGTACTGTCCCCCAACTCCCCATCCCTGGAGGTGTAGACAGACTCCAGTGCCCCAGAGGCTCCCCTCCTCAGAGGTCTCCCCAGAGCATAGGCCCTGCCACCAGCGAGCCTGAGTCCAGATCCCAGCTGTGCCGCTCACTGCACGGTGAGTGAGTTGCTGGGGATGCTGGTGGAGGAGGCTCAGGCCCAGCCAGGATCCTGCCCGGGACAGGGAGGGGGTTTCAGTGAACAGCTGCCCCTTCACGGCTGACCTTCCAGACCAGGCCATGCCTTGCCACAACGGCAGCTGAGTCCCTGGCCCTGGTGAGTGGGTGTCTGCCACCACAGCTTTGCGGAGAAAGATCAATGGGCAAAACCGCGGGGCCACCGAGCAGTAGCCCAGGAAGGCTCCGAAGTTCTGGGCAACGCCACAACTTCTGAACTGGAATGGGGTCTGAAATGGAATATGAGGGTGCTCGACTCCAAAGAAACAAGACTGGGAAGCTGGCAGACTTAGACACCCGTGTGGCTGACCGTTGGCCTCACCGTCCCTACCTCTCCCACCCCACCGCTCAGCCCAACTGCAAACATGAATTACACGCAGTGCCTCCAAACGTGCTCTGCCCCGCCCTCGGCCCTTCACCCCAGCCTCTGGCCTTTGCATTTCCCTCTGCCTCAAGCACACTCCTCTCCCCCGGCTCTTTGCCTGACTCCTCGGCCTCTAGACCCCAACCTAAGATGCCATGTCCCCCAGGAAGCTCCCTGAACCCCTTCTGGCACTGCTTTGACTGGGCTAGATGCCCCACAGACCAGGCAGCTCCCTGACACCCCTCCTTACACATCCTCTATCTCCTGCAAGTGAGCCCCAGGACTGGGTGATCTGGCACCTGGCAGTCCTGGCATGGAGTGAGAGAGCCATCCTTTTTTTTTTGGAGAGGTTTTTTGAGAGGTTTTTGCTATAGGGCGCATGTGCTCGCCAGACAGACAGAGACAGAGAGATAGAAAGCGAGAAATCACACCCCAGGGGGGATGGCCATGCTGCAATCCCTTCTCCTCTCGGGATCTTGGGCATGCACGCACATGTGCCTGGCGTGAGTTTAAGCCACCAGAGCCAGGACTCGAACTGCAGTTGACTACATGGGTCCAGCAACAAAGCCATCATGCCAACTGCTGGTCCCGAGGTCCATGAATTTCTGCCGAGTGGCAGAGTGGGCATGCTGCTGAAC